ATAGAAGCCACATGTTCAAAAGGATCACCTGATAGGATGGGAAAAGGAAGGTAGTTTAGACAAATATGTCCCATAATTATAAACCTTTTCTTCATGTCCTACAATTAATATGAATTATAATTTTTCAACCCTAATCCAAATAAAATTATTTATTTTTGGCCCTAAGGCAAAATTACACTCAAATTTGATTAAGCCCCCGTTTGGACTCCATTAAAATTTTAATACATTCTCTTTCTTCTTTGTAATCACACATTCTTCAATAAAATAATCTTTCACGTAAACTTAAAACTTTTCCTTTATTTTTAACCACACATCCTCCAAAAAATCACTATTTCAAAATACATTTTTCCCAACTTCATTAAAATGGAGCTCAAACAAGGGCTAAATTTTTCCCGATACAGATAAACAAAAAACATGAGCTTTTTTGGGGATATTGAAAATAAATTTAGGCGTATATACCAATAGTGATCACATATATTCTGGCCATTTTCCTAGACTAAATGGTAAATAAAATACAAATTTCTTGCAGTTATTAACAAAAAAAAGTTGACCCGAAAGATCTGGTAATCCCAAGGGAACATATTGCGTATTAAAAATATATGTCACTGACGTTTTAGGAGGACTTCAATTGTACATGAATGATTTCACAGTTGCAATTGCAGACAGGAAGACCTATATCATCCACTGGTTAACTGTATATAAACCTGCTTGAGTTAGTAAGGTGGATTTAATTGTAATATCTTTGTCTTGTATACCTATATGGCTAACTTTTGTACTTGTGTAATAATATGTAGTGCCTCCATATATATCAGCTTTTATTGAAAAGGTCAAAAAACCACATAGCACATATTTTTGTGGAGGTAACAGATATGCATCTTTTTCAACTTGGGGTATCAGTTTTGCTCATCCTGCCACTAAATCAAGTCTAGCACATTCACATGTATTATTTATAGGAATAAGGGAGAGGATGTATTTTTTAATTTATTTCTACATAATAGACTATGCAGCAGCTCTATTTATCTTGACTTCATATGCATTACTTCCAATTGGTACCATATACATATTTTACAAATACAGTAACACAGGTAACAGACTAATAAACACACCTTGTTTCTCACTGGATGACGTAAAAATGATCTCTCTTTAATATGCATTACTTCCAATTCAATCATACACTTATTTTACAAATCCAGTAATATAGGTTAAAGACTAATAAACTCACCTTGTTTCTCACTGGATGATGTACAAAATGATCTCACCAGCTTCATGACATACAAACCATGCATCTTATCATCTCCGTGCTGACAACCAGGATCAACAGTCAACATATTAAGCATAATCAATCAACCTCTCAAGAAATGGATATATGAGCTAATATCCCCTTGCACAAAAGTATGATTTCCGATGCTCATTCAATTTTTCCTTAAAAATTGAAAGAACAAAAGGCCTTCACAGTAACAGAAGACAGTTTTGTAGAATACTTTAGAGTTCAACAAGAAACAGTTAGTATAGAGGAAAACAAACACGGCCAATAGAACAACGAGATTAAAAGGGCACCTGAAGCAAAGAATCAATACCAGCATCCAATTGTGTGAGATTGACAAGGAGCATAACTAGCAGCCCAGTAATGTCACAATCTTTCCTGTACAAATTATCCATCACTTTTCTGACCATATCCATTTCTACCATCCTTCTTGCTAAATCTGAATTTTGTGACAAATTTACAAGAGCTTCTGCTGCAGGTTCTGAAACTTCCTGAATCAATTAATCAAACAACATGCTGGTAAGTATCTAAGGCACAACCAAGAAACTAAAGAGAGTAAAGATTCCATAAATATTTTAAAAATTACAGATTTGCATAAAAAAAAATAGCTTTCTCAATTTTGAGGATTGAACACTAGCATGGAGCTAACTTACCTCGTTGACGGGTAATTTCCAGCCCATTAGAATGTAAACCCATAAAGTATCAATACTCATAGTTCGCATATTTTATTACCAGCCAACATCTGGCATTCACAAGGCTAAATTTGTACAAAAAAAAGTACAAAACTACTACCTTTTCTTCAGATAAAAGACGAGACAACGAAGGCAAGACAACATTGGAGTACTTGCCAAGAGACCGCAACCCATCCTCAGATCCCGTATAATCCCGAACAATATTAACAGCCGCCTTTTTAATCTAGAACGTATTCGAATTCAAATAATTAATAAAATACACAACTACCTCTAAATTACCAAATTCATGTAAAAATAATAATCGAACACAATACAATTTAATGCGGATATCTTCCGAAACACAAAAAAGGGGGAAGGCGTACTAAAATCCCAACCAAAAAGCTTGTGCTATGTATATATGCGTGTGTATAATATAAGTGAAGACGCTTACAGGTGGAGAAGGGGAAGAGAGAAAGCCCAATAGCTCCTCCAGCTCGGTCGCCATGGCCGTTTGCTTTTACGCTTGAAGAAATTGTTTCCCCAGAGTCTGTACTTGTGAATTATTGCACTTGGACCGTCTCTCTTATATATTTATTTTTCTCCAACCTTTTTTCCCTCCTTGGCCCTAGCTTATATAGCCTCAATTTAGGCTCATCTCATCGTTGAAATAAAAATTAGAGATCATGTATAAGTAAAGGAATAAAAAATGACGACTAAATAAAATAACGATCAAAAAATTAATTTTTTAAATAAAAAATCAAAATCAAACGGGGGCTTAATCTAGTGAAAATTACATTCACACATAATTTTTGAATTTTCTATTCAGAAGTAAGATTGAAAGAATTCTTATTCAAAAAAAAGATAAAAATTATCTTTTAAACATTAATAGTAATATTATAAAATTATATTTATCTACATCTCCCACCCCACACCCTTCTATTTTTTCATTCCAATTTTATACCCAACTCTAATTCATTTTTCCCCATCTTTGCTCTCCACCTTCTCTCTTTATCCCTTTCTCTACCCAATCACCATTCCATTCCACCACCGATTTACTCCTCTTACAGTGGCACCATGTTATCGTCGCAATGCAGCACAACCGTTACACCGATTTGCTCCTCTTGCAACAGTACCTTGCGACTGATGCTACTACACAACTTCGCTGTAGGCAATATCATTGCGTGTAGTAGGCGTCGTTGCAAGCATGTAGCGATGATCGCATGGCTTACAGCAGCTACGGTTGTGGACTGTAGTCTGCTGTAGATTTGATAAGGCAGTGGTAGTGATGCAGCGATGGCACGCGACAATAAGTTTGGGGAGTTTTTTAGTGGGTGTGGTGGTCGTGCGATGGAGATAATGGTTGTGATTTTGGTGTTGTTGCTTTTGCTAGTCACGACGTTGATGATAAGATGGTGGTGGCAGTGTGGGTGGCAATGATAGTGATTGTGGTGGTGTTGGCGTTGACACTGGTGGTGGTTTTGTAGTTAAAAATGATGGTTTGTTGGTGGTGAAGCAGTGTTGATTTTGAAGTTGAAAAAATGGAAGTTTGTTGGAAATAGTGCCCGCGATGCTGCAAGCATGTAGTGCACAATGGTGTTGTTGGGTGAAGGTGATTGCGAAGGTGCGATTGAAGGCAATGATGAGGTGATGGCTACAAATTATTTGATTGATTGTGACTAATAAATAAATAAATAAATTGTGATTAATAAATAATATGCGATCTAAAATTTTGATAATTTGCAATCAATAATTTGATAACTTTTTACTATATAATAAATTGTGACCTATAAAATTGGTGATTTGTGACCAGTAATTTTTTTTATCCGTGACCGTGAAATAATTTGTTACCTATAAATTTTTTGAAAAATAATTGTAACCAATTAATTTGATAATTGTGACCAAATTGTATAGAATTATGACATTAATATATTTAATTTATAAAATGTATGCTTATTAAGTATTTCACAAGTAATTTTAATTAATATATGATTTTTGAAATTTTAAACTTTGTATCTTAATTCTGAAATGAGTGATACTTAATATCTTACATACGAAATTTTCGCTTTAATCTATCAAGTATTTAGGAGTTGTTAAATTTGAATCGAAATCAGTTCGATTCATATTGGGGTCAATTCATAAGTTGGCCCACCACAATGATAAGTCATGGGTTGAACTCTCTTTCGATCACAACACGATGATTCTATCTATTTATATTTTAATACGAATTTATTTTATTTTTTCTGGAAAAAATAATTTTTGGCTAAAAATCATTTTCACATTTTTCTCACACAATTTCACCTTTTTTTTTCACTTATAATTTAATTTAAATCGAATCAAATTTCTAAAAAAATGATGGATTGGACTAAACCAACCCATAATATGGTGGGTCCATGGACCAGTCCGGCGTTCAAATTTGAAAGACCATTTGAACGTATAGTTCAAACTATATTTTTAAGCGAACAAATTTAGTGCTTGTTTGGTAAGGATTTTGTTAATTGATTTTTTGACTGTTAAATATAAAGTGAGTTTTACCTGTGAGAGAAAAATTCAAAAATGACGGCTAAAATAGTAAAATAACGGTCAAAAAATTGATTTTAATTGGATTTTTAAGCTGTATCAAACATGCTCTTAAACTTATTATGAGTTTGGATGAAATCTAATTGTAACCCATTTTGACACCTCTATTTTTAAATATCTCATCTATTTAAGCTAGTCCGACTTGAGACAGTTATTTTTTTAATTGATAAGTTGTAATAATGTTTTTAAGAAATAAATAAATTTTTCAATGATCGAGTATATAAAAATTGATGTAAATCGGTTGTCAAAATTTGTCTAAAAATAAGTTTTGGACCAAATTATAACATTACAAACAAATTGGTTGCTCCTGAGATATTTTCTCATCCAGCAAGAAAAGAAGAAAAAGGGATCACTTTCCCTTTTACGATTTTTTTCCTTTTTGGGAAAAGTAATCACTAGAGAGATCTCTGTCCACCTTCGCTGCTCGCCGTGGCTTTAGCATTCCCCGCATTATTTCGATAGTTTTCAAGTCTAAAATCAGGTAAAACTTTTGTTTATCCTCTGTAAATTTATTAAATTCTGAATCAGGTAGCTGTTGTTGTTACATTATTTATTAGAAACCCAAAAGTATAAAGAGAACGCACTTTTTCTATGATACAGGCTTATGAATTTCGTTAATGTGTAGAATATGAAGTCAATATTGGTTCCTGCATTTAATTAATGCTGGAATCTACGCATATGCAAGTCCTACACTCACATTGCTTTGGGATTCAGGACGAGCTTTCGATTTTTCAGAATGTAGTCGTTACTGGTGATCCAATGATTTATCTAGAAATGAAAATGAATAAAAACTCGGCTACATGTTTATGCTAATATTTAAACTGGGGCTATTTATGCGTACTTTCAAGTAGTCTAGATGCTGTTCCGGTGGGTAAAATATGTTGCTGAACTTATAAAATTTAGAAATAAAGAGTCTATGCTAACATATTAATTTAACTTTTCGTTTACAGAGTATCTACATTTTTCTTGTAGCAGATGAGCTGGTTCGTAATAGCTTTGTGGAAAGTATATTTTGATGGCTTACATTAAGCTCAATAACAAGTCTCAGGATTACCGTGAGCAAAATGTACATGCTTATCGTCGGGTGCGGAGGTTTAGTCGGATTTCGAGAAGAAGTTTATTATTCTGGCTGTTGTCACTTGCAGTGGTGTTCTTTATCTGTTTGGCAATTTTTGGATCAAAGATGCACTTTCATGGTGAGATTAAAGATTCTCTTATCCTATCACAATACCAACGCAAGTGTTCTGTTTAAATTAAGTAGTAAAAATTGGATCAAATAGCTCGTTGGAGCTTATTGGGCTCTGATACCATGTTAAGATTTGGGGTCCATCTTAATAAGGTCAACCTTATTAAGATGAGTGACCCAAGACCTGTTTAAGTTGGTCAATATTTCGATATTTAACCGATGTGAGATTTATTCCCTTAACATTTAAGTACGATTTTACGATTATTTAATTATTTATTTATTTTTGATACCTTAATTTATTTTTACAATTATCCTAAAACACCAAACTTTCAGCACTACCATGTCATCACTTTGGTTTACTCCAAGAAATGATGTCTAAATTTTACTTATGTATGGTTTCCACAACAGTCTTCAAAAGTCTAGTCTAGCTTGTTTGTTTGCTTGACGACTTAAAATCTAATATTACCAATATAAACAAAATGAAGTAGCTCCTCTATCTTTAATTATATTTGATGAAGACAATTTCCCAACCCTACGTAAAAGCAACTCCCTTTACCAATTACAAGTCCCTATGATTTAAGTACAATTTTAAGAATAATTTTTTAAATTCATTTTTCCAGTTATCCCAAAACACCAAACTTTCAGCACTACTATGTTGCCACTTTGGCTTATTCCAAGAAATGACTTCTGAATTATGCCTCTCATGTATGGTTTCCACAACAGTCTTCCGGCAGTCGAGTCTGGCTTGTTTGTTTGACAATTTAAAATCGAATATAAACGAAATGAAGTAGCTCCTTTATCTTTAATCAATTAACTGACTCGTACATATGATTTTGTACAAGTAGGTCCATTGATTTCGATTTCAAAAATTCAAATCAAGGGGCACGTGCATGCCACACATGCATATGTCAACCTATATGCACAGCATTTCTTACATGTATTGCAAATCCCATCTTTAATTGTATTTGATATGTTCTTTATGGAAGACAATCCTCCTATCCTACGAAAAGGACCGTTCTAATACACTTTCATAAACGATCAAAAAGATAAGAACAAGTCCCTTTACATTGGCATTACAAAGTCTCAGATTTAATGTTGTTTAAAATTTGCTAAGCTATAATAGTAAATAAAAACTGGAGAAAAGTGATTCAGGTATCAACAGCCTTCATAACTCAAAAGACCAAGCATTGAGATAGCTAGTAGCTACTCATCTAACCAACACGAGCAGATATCTAGTCTGACACTTGTGTTGATGCTTCACCCGTGCCATTTTCTTGAATCAACTGTTAAAGGAACAAATTACAGTAAGATTATCATAAATATATACTGAAACCTACAGATGGTAGGGAAAAGAGAGAGGGATGATGAGGATACCAATGAGCCCACTCGCTCGTATGCTTCCATTACTTGGGGATTTTCCTCGTCTTCATACCCTACTTGCAGTATTCGAGGTCCGTTGACAGACCAGAAAGCTCTCCTACCAGACTCCTGCAAGAACCTCGCAACAATAAGACTTGACTTGCATTGGGATTTATGCAAACCTTGAAAAGTAATACAGCAGAGAATATTCGATTAAAGTTGTTGGTCAAAAATGGGAAGAGATATGCAGGGGGAACTCGCTTCTTTGCATACACTTTTAGTTTGGCAATTCTAATTTCAGAGGAATCAGGTCATAAGCTTGTTTACCAAGCAGGTGTGTGATCATATGAGCAAGTATTCAAGACTAGAACCTGATAAACCCAATTCAATTCCTACCTCATTCTCACCAAAAACGGAAGGGAAACAAAACATGTTTGGAATATGTACATTACATATATCCTGGCTCTGACTTAATTCATTTTTTAGACCAGCTAGAGTTTTAACTGATCCCTAATCAGATCTTCAAAGTTCAGAGAGTCTAAATGTTATTAATATCGATTCCCAAGGAGACCCAGTAAGTTCTTCAAGCCCCCTTATCCAAAGAAGAGAAAAAAGGGTTCCTCAAGCCAGTAACCAATAGCCGCATGTATCGATGCTTCAGCAAACAATGACTAATGAATGCCACCGATTTCCCATGCATTCAAAAGGTAACACGACCCTGACACTAGGAAATGTAGCCCAAGTCCTCAAGCTTAAGGTACAATAAAGGAATTATCGAAGACATTAAACATGTTTATATACATCTTTTCTGGCGCCAAGGAATTTTGAATTTTATTTCTCTTTTCCAAAAAAAGGCTGCCTTGGAATTTTTCAATCTTAAAAGTAATTAAAATTCTTAATACAGTTCTAACAACTTTGAAAAAGAATAAGCCGACTAACCTGCAATATGAGCAAGTAGATAGCATCCAATGCTTGGACACGAATCTCATGATCAACTAATACTTCACGCTCAATTGAGAGTGCACTTCCAAGCTCAAGCGGCATTTTAGATGTATCTTCCTCACTATAAATCTGTCACAAGTTATTGCATTAGTGAAAATAAAATGTTAATAATGCACATATAAGCAAAATGCAGCAACAAGGAAACAGTCCAAAAGTTAAACAAAATATTCGTCAAGTGAATGGTAGAGACAGAGATTCTAAAATTTAAAAGTTCACTTGCAGTTAATGCAACTCACAATCTTCACATTCAGCTGTATAATGAAAGTTGAGGAACAATAAAGAATCCACTTAAACCAGAAGAGTGAATCTTAAGTACTCAGTAAGACCATTAACTATTTGCAAAATCCTTCTGACAATGTCTGCCAGGACTACACTAGTAAATGACCACATTCAATCATCACCTTTAGGTTGAATTAACACCGTGCTAAATTTGAGTTAGCTTACATCTTTGTGGAGGGACTTCACTTAGCAAGGAGTATCCATCCTTCAAGCTCGTGGTTGTAGGATACTACTGTCTTGCCTTAGTTTAATTGTTTCCATCCAAGGGCTTTAAGACAGTATAAGTGTAAAACTAATAAATATTCAAACATGTCATAATGTCATGAAGATGTTATAATAGGTTCTACACACACAAAATCCATCAAGAGAAGCACTGTAACTTTGTAATTTCTTGTGGTATTTGAGAAACTTCCTGATAACATACAACTCAAGACAAAATATACTAAAAAGACAAAAAAGGTTGTCTTAAGAGTGGCAGATCTATTTAAATATCGATCACCTTGTTTCCAGCAACCGGCAGAAGCAGCGCTGGCCACAGAAACTCTGAGATCAAAAGCAAATTATGCAACTGATTGTCAGCCTCAAAACAGCAGTTCCGAATAGTCCCCGAGACCTAAAAAGAAGAATAAGATATTGATCAACAGAAATATATCTGACTAAAATATTTATTTGGGGATTGCTAAAACAACAATGTAAAGGAAGCACAAAATAACTCATATCTGCATTTTTCTTTCTATATCTACAAGCTTTCATTTGATGTTATATGAAGTTTCACTTACCCAAACAGCCCTTCGAACATACAGAAAATGTTTTCAAATTTAGACCTATAGATTATTCTACAACAAATATGTAGTGGGTGTATAGAGAGATCTTGTAGGTTATTTACTGTTCTCACTCATTCTCCCTCTCTTCCCCTTGCTTGGTCCCACGGGAGAAACATCTACTTTGAGCTTGAACTTAGCCAAAAGGTTAAAAAGTTTAGACGAGTGTAACAATTATGGACATGTTTTTAGTTAACTCGTATGTCACCAGAATATCCTGTACACACTTTTTCATAGAATTACTTAACTCAGTTAGTAACTACATGAACACGCCTGAGAAAGGCCCTGCATGGCTTCTGCAATTCCTCAAAAGTAATTAAGCCATCACAGCCCAAATGAAAAAACGGAAATAAAAAATTGGTAGCAACTGAATTTCCAAGAGAACATTTGTAAGAGCTTAAAAAAAATTTAGTATTTGATGGGCTCAAAAATTCTAGAACAAGAGAATCTTTCTACTTACCCCTTTCTTTCGCAATAGGCTACCTGAATCAAATTGCCTAATGATCTGCTTTAAAAGCCCTCTCTTAGGGTCCAGTAGAAGTTTTCTTCCTGCTTCTTTCTGTGAAATATTTACGAGTATAGAAGCCACATGTTCAAAAGGATCACCTGATAGGATGGGAAAAGGAAGGTAGTTTAGACAAATATGTCCCATAATTATAAATCTTTTCTTCATGTCCTACAATTAATATGAATTATAATTTTTCAACCCTAATCCAAATAAAATTCTTTATTTTTGGCCCTAAGGCAAAATTACACTCAAATTTGATTAAGCCCCCGTTTGGACTCCATTAAAATTTTAATACATTCTCTTTCTTCTTTGTAATCACACATTCTTCAATAAAATAATATTTCACGTAAACTTAAAACTTTTCCTTTATTTTTAACCACACATCCTCCAAAAAATCACTATTTCAAAATAAATTTTTCCCAACTTCATTAAAATGGAGCTCAAACAAGGGCTAAATTTTTCCCGATACAGATAAACAAAAAACATGAGCTTTTTTGGGGATATTGAAAATAAATTTAGGCGTATATACCGATAGTGATCACATATATTCTGGCCATTTTCCTAGACTAAATGGTAAATAAAATACAAATTTCTTGCAGTTATTAACAAAAAAA